AATCAATATATCATGAAAACAACATCATGCATATAACCATACCCCCATGGGACATAGTGGAACCAACAATGGCTAAACCGAGGACACGAAAGCTTACCTTGCAAGCTAACAATCCAAGCCAAGAGTCCAACCAATGCTCAAAGTCCAAACACAGCAGAATCACGATCTGATTTGGACCAGCAATCATATCAATAAACTTAGCTCATAAGCATAAACATAAAGGCAACGCTTCTCTTTTACGTTTTACGTCTTTAGGCTCCTCATAAAGCCTCAAGCGCTTAATCACTTGATTCTGACTTAGTTTAATTATTACAGAAGTTCAACTTCATCAATCTAGGGTCCACAAACCCCCAATAGCCTTCTGTATGAACAATACCTTCACTGTTCACGAAAACCCAAAATATCCGGATATGTGTCGGGGTAATATTCGGATATCAAAGAACCCCATATCCGGATATAAATATCCGGATATCACAGAACCCAATATCCGGATATCAATATCCGGATATTTTGCGACAGAATGCAGTTTCTGCATTTCGTGACATATCACTCCAAAGGTTCCATTTTTACCGATTACAGAAGCTTAAGCATGCATTTCTAGGTGTGTTTAACCTTACCCAACCTTAAGTTATGATCTTTAACTCATTACATGCATCAAGGTTCCATTTTTAAGCACTAAAACTCATGATCATGGTTGGTACAACTTACCCAAGCTTCAAACAGAAGCACAAGATGCTCTTGGAGCTCACTTGAAGCTCCCAAAGTCCAGCACACACAAGGACACGAAAATGGTGCACACACAAGGTCCTTCCTCTCCAAAGGTTGCTCCTTGGACCTCCAAAGTATGAAGCACAAGGTTCAAACACTCTCCAAACCCAAGGTCAGCACCCAACTCTCCCTCAAACTGACTCCCTTACTCAGAAACAAGACTACAAACCCATTCCAATGATAACCCTCTCTCACAACAAGTGTTTAAGAGAAGCTTTCATGCAAGAAAAGCCTCAAAGCTCAAGAAATGGAGAGGGAAATGCAATGGAACAGTAACAACAAGTCAGCTCCTCAAGAAGGTCACGTAGAGGCTGATAGAATACCTAGGGTTTGTGCAAGAGAGGTATTTATAGCCCACTTAGCCTTAATCGCACTGTATTATCATTAATTGTTACACTTAGCATTTTAATCCCAAACTTTAGAATCTGAACCTACTCATTTTTCTAAGATTTATCATATTTTTATTTTATTTTTCGCAGCACTTTTCCGGTAGGCGTTTTTCCATAGCCAGTATCAGTTCTGGCACCAGTTCTCATTATTTTGACTTGAAAATTGTTTTACAAATCCTATATATTATTCTAGTAATATTTCCACACTTATTATAATTTTCCGGGATACTTCATCGGTACGCATTTGTATCGAGTAGCAGAACCGGTATCTGCACTTTTCTTCAGAAAAGCGACTTTCAGATTATTACTCACTCACTGTAATTATCTAAGTCTCATAATAATTATTAGGGTCAATTATGGAATTATTTCCTAATTTCACATAATTAATTAATTAACTTCCTTAATTAACGGTGCTGGTTCTTACAGAGTGGGTTGGAATTTTCAACCCATATTTAAGATGCAGGGCGGACCAACATATTTTTGGCGAGTTGGCGGCGGGTCGGGCGGGCCGACCTGTTTTGCCACCTCTATCTCTGAATATCCGTTCAACAATGGCAAGGGCAACCACTACTCCTTCAAACCCTAGCCCTTTTCTTATCCTACACCCTCTTCTTATCCCGCACACTTCTCTAACAACACCATTCACTTCTCCACTATCCAAAAAACCCCTACCTTATCTCGCCGCCGTGTTTGTTGCTCCTTCCTCCCCCGTCGACGGTGCCACGTCGCAGCAGTGGAGGAGAAGACAGAGTTCGACGTGGTGATCGAAGGGGTTTTGAAGGAAGAAGCTGAAGATGCCAAGAAACATCTCATTGGAATCAATATTAAATTTTGTACCAACCCGTTGTATAATAATATGCCTTAGATATATGATGGTGCAACTTGAACCTAAATCGATGGAATCTTCTCGGCATTTTTCTTCCCTAATATGTGATTTGTGTAATTCTGATTAATGTTTTGAGAAGCATTTTACTGAAATTTCAAAGTCTAAACAATCTTGCAGTTTATTGCCTCATTCTATCAACATATATTTTTTATTGTTAAATGGAAAGTATTGTAATTTGTGAGTGATTGTTATTGTTAAAAGATTTCACCAACCATCTCATTGGAATCAATATTAAATTTTGTATCAACCTGTTGTATAATAATCTGCCTTATACATATGATGGTGCAATTTAAACCTAAATCGATGGAACCTTCTAGGTCTTTTTCTGCTGTAATATGTGATTTGTGTAGTTATGATTAATGTTTTGAGAAGCATTTTACTGAAATTTCAAAGTCTAAACAATTTGCAGTTTACTGCCTCATTCTATCAACATATGGTTGTTCAAAGATAGGTATGTTTCTTTGGTCCTTGCTCTCTCTCTCTCTCTCTCTCTCTCTCTCTTTTCATTGTCTCTTATTCAATGCACGGAGAGCATTGAATTCGGAGCTCCTTTTTACTAAAAGAGGAAAATTTTAAGGACTTAAACAAAAATGGGAAAAAAAATTTCTTTTTAGTAACAAGGAGCACTGAACAATACTTCTGGTGCATTGAAGTTTTTCTTCTTGAGTACCATACCTGGACCTGTAAACATGTTAAAATTTAGTACAAAGAATTTTATTGCACTTGTGAGGGATGTGCAAAATGTCTAATTGATCCAAACCACTTTTAAAAACTAAACCAAATCAAATTAAAAAATCGGTTTTTTTTAAAACAATTTAAAAAATATATCCACTTTTTAATTTTGAATGTGGTTTGGTTATCCATTTATCAAATGGTTTGGATGTGATGGATAACCAAACCATATCCATTTCTTTTCTTTAATCATTTTTTGTTTTTACGTTTTTACGTTTTCTGGTGTGGTCGCATTATAATGCGAGAACGCTCGAGTTTTAAACTATCACTTGGAACTCTGGAAATAATGATGTGGTGAAGGAGAACAACACGTTGTTTTCTTGATTGTTCTGAGGTATGCCGTTTGCGAAGGCAAAACGATGTTAGATTTGTCGTTGCTTGTTCTACTTTACCAGTTTACTAGGAAGCTTAGCTTAAGCTTTTGTCTAAACCTTCTTCCTGCTTTAAGTTAAGCGTGGCCTGGGTTAGTATGTGCTTTGTTTCAGCTAAACCAGGGTTTAAGGTAGCTGTTTTTTACTCTAGCGTTTCTAAATCCTGCCGCGTGTATAGATGGCTTCTTAATTGCACACATAGTGGTAGCGACCCAACACCGCAAAGAAATTAGGATTATTTATTGCATAGCCAAGTAGAGAAAAATTATTATGAGCATGAAATATATGAATTATGCATCGCGGGGATGGTTTTCGTGAGAAAATAAATAAACATATAAAGGTAATTTTTATTTTATTTTAAAAAATAGCATAACTCATCAAAAATCAGTTTTAAATTTGTTATAAAATCGATTTTAACTTGATAACCGGTTTATGATTCAAAATCGATTTTGAATTAAAATCGATTTTCAATCAAAACCGGTTATAATCCATAAACTAATTTTGGAACGGGTTTCAAATTGGTTTGGAAAAATTAAAATCAATTTTTAAATAGAAAATTAATTCGGTTAGAAAATCAAATCATTTAAAATTGATCCGATTTGATTTTTGATAAAAATCAAATCAAACTGCTCCATGCATAACCCTACTTGTGACTCTTGTTTAGGCTTGTTAGTTGGTGCTCGTTGACCCTTGTTATTAAATCCAACTAATTTATTTCCACAAAATTGTTGTGACCCTATTCTCATTTGGTTGGGCCCTTTATGTGCCGTAGTCCACTAAGTAAGTGGCTCTTCTTTTACGTCTTGGGTCTACAATCTCAAACGCAATTTCGACCCTTTAAACATCATTTTACAGTCGTGTAAGAAAAAACTTGTTTATAAATGTCTATTGACAAAAATACCTCTATAATTTAATATTATATCCACATTTTAATAATATTTAAATAAGTAAATTTCAATAACTTATGAATTTAATTTTGATACCTTTTTTGTATAAAACATTTTGATTCTATCACTCAATCTTATTTTTTATACTTTCCCAATGAATTTGACTGTATGAATAAAAATATTATTAAACTCAGTAAATGATGTGATAACATATTATTGGATAATAACGTAAATTTCTTTTGTATTAATAAACACATCAAATTAAATTATTCAACACATATACAAACTTAAAATTTTAAATTTTTAACATTAATTTATGAAAAAATATTTGTTTTTTTAAATGATATAACTTATATCATTTCAATCTTACAAAGAGGTGAGATTCACTTCTTTATTTATTTTTTTCCACTCTCTCTCTTATAATCTATCTCTTTCTCTCACTTAAAATGACACAACTTTACATGTTTTAAAATGACACACATTTTTTCCTTAATTTATTTTCAATTTAACTGAAGGAATAAATTCTTATTTTTTTTTTATAATCTTCATTATATCAAAATCTTTATATAAATATTTCTAAACAAATCAATAACTCAAACATATCTAACTCAAAACAAATCATTAATGATAATTCATACTTCTCAATTTTTTTTTTTTTTGTAATTTATTTAAATTAATGGATCACTTAACTTCTCATAAGACTAGGTAGGTAGCTAGTGTTAAAAGTTAAGACACACACATAACACACGTTGCAATCTTCTCTTCTAACGTTTGGGTTGTTGCTTGCACATTCCATTGGTCGGAGGACAAAGATAAAAGACATGGCATCAAACTAGAGCGTGTAGCTTCCATTATGTACTCTCTCGCGTGTCTGCAGTTTCTCTGAAACACAACATCAAATGTAAATATCGTCGAGACTCGAGACAATCACATTTCCCACTCCAACCTCCTCCTCTGCAGAGACAATTATGATATAAACAGTTTCGAGAGAAAATGAAAAAGTTGTCAGAATCTCGAGAACCCTCGATATTTTCAAATCCACGTACGATAATTTATTCTCTTTGTGACTCTAACATTACCATTTTTTTTTTAATTTATTTATTTATATCCCCAGAATCACATTCTTCTTCCTCTGTCTTCCTCTTTGATTAGAGATTCTCAAGTTAATGGTTTAAAGAGTTGGTACAGTTTGATGGCATAAAAATTAAAGCTTTGCTACAATAGCTTTCATCCTACAGGTTTTTTTTTTTAATTATTTTCTCTTCATATTTATATGTATTGAGTTGATTCCTTCTGCAAATATAAAATTTTAGTATAGTACTGTTATTTTTATTTTTATTTTTTGAACATTTTTCATTAGTGGGTAATGTTCTAAATCTCCATTTTTGTGAGTTATATTCACTCTTCCATGAAATGGAACCAAAAGCCCTAGAAATGTGTTGAATTTATTTGTTTGTTTGTTTATTTACATGTCTTTTTGTTTTTTGTTGTGTTTTTTTTATCAGAATAGGTTGATTTTCTCGAGAAAAGTTTGTTCTTTTTTGATGGGTACGGTTGAAACTCAATCCAAGGTACCATCTGGAGGTTCATCTCCTTTGTCAGAAAACATCAAGGTTCAAGGTCCAGAGCTGGAGAAGAAGGAGCTCAGTGAAGTTCTTAATGGGGAGGGAAGTTGTGGGGTTAATGAGAATGGGGTTTTTTCTAGCCTTGGAAACCAAGGTTTGGGTGATGATGGGGTTGTTGAAGTTGTCAAGAGTAGGGTTTTTGAGGCCAAGGTTTCGGTTATGAAGGAAAATGATTGTCAAGGTTTGGCTGATTCTGACATGAATGGGGTGTCCTCTTTGTTGAAAATGAGAGAAAGTGGCAGAAGCGCTGTGTTTTCTGGTGAGGGTGCTGAGAATTTGGATGATGTTTCTGCTTGTGAGAGAAGTGCAGCAGAAGGTACTGTTTTGAGTGAGGTTGGTTCAGTAGGAATTGGTGGGGAAGGCATAAGAGATGGGAAGAAAAGTGAGGAGGAAGGAAGAGATGAAGATTGTGATGGCAAAATTGTGACTATAGATGTTCCAATTGTTGAAACAATTGAGAAGTTGGATGATTTAAGTGATGAAGGGTGTGGGAAAATTGTGACTATAGATGTTCCAATTGTAGAAACAGTTGAGAAAATGGATGTTGAAGTGGAGGATTTAAGTGATGAAGGATATGAGTTTTCCATTGGTGATTTTGTTTGGGGTAAAATTAAGAGTCATGATTGGTGGCCCGGCCGGGTTTATGAGCCGTCTGATGCATCAGACTTTGCTTTAAGGCTGAAACAAAATGATCGACTCCTAGTGGTCTACTTTGGGGAAGGAACCTTTGCTTGGTGCCATCCATCACAATTAAAGCCATTTGAGGAGAACTTTGATGGTATGGTGAAGCAGAATAGCTCCAGAGCTTTTGTCAATGCTGTACAAGAGGCTGTGAATGAGATTGGAAGGCTACTGAATATGAAGCTTAGTCATTCATTTGTTTCAAAGATTACTAGTTCTGAATTTACTCCACCATTGTCGAAAAATTCTGGAATCAAGGAAGGAGTTCTTGTGCCTGAAAATGGCATAGAGAGACTTTCAGCCGTTCCAATTGCCTCAGCAGAATTGCTTTCTCTAGTGAAACAATTTGCACAAACTATTGCTATTGCTAGTATTCTGGAGCTGGAAATATTAAAAGCTCACCTCTCAGCCTTTTATCTGTCAAGAGGAGGTTACAAATTAGCTGTTTATGAGGATCCCCAGCCAGTTCTTGGACTTGAAGATAGTCTTACAGGTGAAACAGTTGATGTAGGTAACTGTAAGAGTGCAGTGGAAGCACCAGTCCAAGGGCCATTTGAAGAGGAGTACTCTACCTTGCCAGTGAGCCCAAAATTTGGTGAATTGTGTCATTCTCTAGGGCTTTCAGGGAATAGATTGATCCATAGAAGAAAACAGAAAAGCATTGCTGAAATTATGGGGGAGGACAAAGATGTTCATTCCAAAGATAGGGAGGGGGATGCAACTGATGAAGTGATGGATGCAATTGGTTCAAGTGGTAGAAAGAAGAGAAAAGGTAGTGAGGATGCAAGGGCATCTAAACCAGTTCAGAAGAGAAAAGAGTTGCTTTCAGATACTGATAGAAATGTGCTAAGTGCAGAAAATGATGGCAGTGAGGGCAAGGACTCATCATTGCAGTCAGAAGAGAAGAAAGAAGCTATTGGTGGTGAAAACATTAGCAGTGGGAACAAAAAAGAAGCTGATGAAGAAGGGAAGGCCAAAGAACTAAATGAGAAGGGTTCTTTATCAAGAGAGAGGAAGAAAAGTAAGTACTTGTCCCCTCCCTTCACTACTCTAATGAAGGGGCTAGGGAAGGGAAACATAGATACAGAATCCATTAAGGAAGGAATGACCAGGGCTGCTAGCCAGCTTTCCCCTCCAGTTTTGAAGCGCAATGATGAGGCATTTCAGGAGAATTTCTCCAAGGGAGTTACCATAGAGTGGAAGCTTTCTGATAGCTCAAATTACCAAACACAAGAAGATTATGAGAAGAGGACTATTGATCCAAAGAAGATCCGGGCTCTGTCAGTGGATGTTCTGTCCAAAATCCGCGATGTGGCTATCAGTCCACAGATTCCTAGGGAAAGTACTTCTCTGGATGAATTTGTGGACTTCATTTCTGTTTTCAGAAGTTCATTATATCACGAGGGATCGTTATACAAAGTATACAAGAAGCGTCAACCTGGAAGGAAGAGAAAGAAGCTAGAATCTGTTGGCGTTTTGCGGAAAGAACAAAGTCAATCTGATCATATGTCACCTGATCAAGATTCTCAGCCAACAAAGAGAAGAAAGGAGGCAACTCCCAGCATGTCAAAAGTGAGGAAAGCTCCTAAAACTGAGAATGACAAGAAGGGTAGTGATGAAAATTCTCAAGCAGCTGTGCTTTTTATCACATTTTGGCCAGGATCCTCTCTGCCTTCAAAATCTGATCTTATCACAGTATATAGTAAGTTTGGAGCTTTGGATGAAACAGAAACAAATATGTTCTGTACTAATTACACTGCTCGAGTGTCCTTCCTAAGAACTTGTGATGCTGAAAAGGCATTTAAAGATTCACAAAACATGAACCCCTTTCGATCTTCTGATGTAACTTTTCAGCTCCAGTATCTTTCTGCTGGATCCAAGTTTGGAGAACATGGTGAAACATCAAAAAGGTTCAAACCTTCGCCAGCTAAGAAGAAAGACAAGTCTGCAGCCTCACAGGGTAGTGAAGCATCCAAATTGAACTTCATAAAACAGAAACTTCAAGGTTTGACCTCAATGCTAGAAGCATCAGATGGCAAATCACCTGATATGAAGACAAAATTAGAGAGCGAGATGAAAGGTCTTTTGGAGGATGTGAACAAAATGGTAGAATCTTCTTCGTCCTAGATGACACTTATGAGAGTGGAGATTGTGTAGCTTATGATTAGGGAAGGTTTAGTGACATTATGCCATTTGCTTTTCGTGTTCTGTCTTTGTCCAATGGTAATTTTATTTGACCCTGTGTGCACCGAGCTTTATTTGAGATATTACTCGTTATACATAGATGGGGTTGTGATATTAGGTCCTTATCTATGTATGATATGTAACCTGTTGCATGCATGGTCTTTATAGAGATCGACATCTTTTTAGATTATTCTGTCTCTTATGGTAGTGATATGCAAACAGCTTTTAAGGATAAAAAATATCATTTTTTTCTTTTCTTTCTAAAACATAGTTATGTTAAATACTTAAGTTTTGAGATAGGACAGGGATAATATAGGGATAATATAGTGGGAAAAGTGTGTGTCATTTTAAATGATGTAACCTTATGTCATTTTAAGAAAAAGAAAGATATAGATAAAGGAGAAGAGAGAGTTGACAAAAAAAATAAAAGTGCAGGTCTCATCTTTTTGTGAAAGTGAAAGGATATAAGTTGTGTCATTGAAAAGGATAAATACTTTTCTCTAATATAATATAACAAAATATGCATTTTTTTTTTTTTTTTGAATATTACAGGAATCGAACTTGCAACTTAATACACACTACACACACCCAACACCACTTTGTACAGCTACTTGTTTCACTTTTTAACAACATTGATTAGTTTACCATGAAAAATGGTTCGCTGATTGGTTGTCTTGAGCTCATTCCCAGACTTTCTGGGCTACTAGTTCTTAGCCTGTTGGAAATCACATTGAAGTTAACGTATAATATGTTGACACATTTATTATTCAAGAAATTAAAGTTATTTCTATTGCTTTTTTATTTTTAAGAGAATTATGTGTACTGCTTATTCATAAAGTAAGGGAGGTAAAGATTTTGGCCTGGCAAAACTTCAAATCATGCAAGGCGCGTCATATATTCATGAACTATATTACACACTACTTTCAACTCTCAGAATTACAAACACCACAAATAACTTTTTACATTCAAAGAAATCAACATAGCTGGAAAATACAGATGGAGTATAAAAGGAACAAGGACAAGAAAGTACGAATATTAGTGTTCTTACATCAAACATCTGCATAGACTAATCTTAATGATATTCAAATTTTGTTTTGTTTCTTTTTTCTTTTTGTCTCAAACTCGACCAACATTGGTAATCTATCTCCAATGTCGAGTGCCTAACCATATATCAGTCATCAACCGGGTCATCAGGAGTTTCATCTGCCTTGCGTTTGATAGTAATAACAGGGCATTCAGCATGCTTCACACAAAATTCACTCACAGTGCCAACAAAAACCCTGCAGAAGAACATGTTAGCTATATTTCCTTAGTAACATATTTCAGAATCTAGGAGCATTAATGCACTCTTTAACATTTCATAAAAAACCAAGCAATTTATAACAGAAACAAAAAAGAAGAAAAAAAGACCAGGAGCATACTTTTGGAAAGGACCAAGACCTCGGCTACCCACAACCAGAAGATCTGGCTGTAGTCGTTTCACCTCATGTATTAGTACTTCTTTGGGATCACCCTGCCTTATCCATGCTTGACATGCCACCTACAAATAAATATATCAATATATTTAGACTTGTTGAGAAGATATCACAATTACAAATAATTGGGGTGGCAGAAAAGAAACTTCTAGTAATAAACCAATTTCACTACACATTTAACAAGAATGAAGGTGATGGAAGCTAGCTACAAAGAAAAAAAAGAAAGAAGCTAGAGCATACAGAAGTGGAACAGAAAAACTTTACCCCAATTTCATGACACCTATTGACAAAATATTCCAGCAGATGAAGCCCTCTAATCTTATCTCTCTGCTTCATGTTCTCAAAATCTTCAGGTGATGCGTAGATACTATCCATGTCATCAAAACCTAGTAGAAACAAGTAACACCATTAGACTTGTACAACATTCAAAGTAAGACCATTAGATTGTAGGTTCTTTTATTCTGCTTAGTATAATATATAAATGTCTCAATAGATTAGCTGCAGATTCAAAGAAAAAGCTCAATAAATCACAAAATAAGGATAAAGTAAAAAAATATATTACAATAATGCATTTAAAAATAAAACAAAACAAAAAGATGAGAACAACTCCAAATATCATCACAAGGTTATCAAATTCAATGTAAACAATGTTTACCTATGTCCCATCACTCAAAATAAACTCAAACAGTATACATAGTTTATTCGAAGGAATTTTCTTCTATATTTTTATATCTTTCTATCATCTTATACATTAAATAAAAAAACATGACATTACCAATCACTCACCGAAACAAAGACCCAAATTTGACGTGTGCAAGTTCAACCTCAATTAACTAATTTTACCCATCCGGGACTTAAAATAAAACAAATTCTAGGCCCCCTTTTTTATTTTCTTTCACTTTCCTTTCCTTTCCTCCATTTTCCGAGAATCCAAACAGAATAAAAAAAAACGCAAAATCGAACCCAGGAACAACCAAATAGAAAACCATAAAAAACCCAGAAAACAAAAACAAGAAATAAATATAAAAAGAGAGAGAGAGAGAGAGAGAGAGAGATGAAGAACACCATCTTCATCAGGAACTTGAACGTGAAGAAAGAGAAGAGTGAAAGCATTGACGTTGCAACGAACGAGCTTGTTTATGGTCCATTCGAAAGCCCCTTTGCTGCTAATTGAAGGGTAAGGGTAACCCTTCAAACTTGACTCGTTCACTCCCACCATTATCCGAGTCGTTTCTTCTGCCATGACTCACTCACTCACTGAGTCAAATACGCCGAGTCAACTCCCTCTTTCTGCTTTCACCTTTTATTGAGGAAGATTAGAGCGCATTTAGCATCCCCGTGTACGATAGCGTCATTCCCTCCCCGTTTCGCTAAACTGCGCACGGGACCGCTATTCGAACCACGTGTGCCGTTTCGCTTTATAACTTACGGGCCCTAGCGTCCTTTTCATTTCTCTGTTCCGAAGCGTCGTGAACAGAGCAAAACGACAAATCTCCCATAGCAGGAAAGTCATGAAACGACGATTCGAAGAGGGCAGGCGGTGATCCATTTGCGGTGCCGTTTTAGCTGCTCCTGATTTACATAAATTCATAATTATTGTGAAAAATATGTAAATTTATTTTTAATTAAACAAGATGCGAAATTTTGATGTGTTGTGTAGAATTCTTATATTTTTATGAGAAATATGTACGTTTAAATGTTTTTGAAAAAGAATTTTATACAAAAGTAAAAAAAATTACAGTTGCAAGTAACAGTTGAAATTATAAACTTTTACCATAGTTTCTCCTATTTTATATAGCGTAAGTCAAAAATTATGTTACATAATGTAACTTTCCTACACACAACTGAGAAGAGAAAGGAGAGAAAAATCAAAATATGAGACCATCATTCAATTATGTATGTAAAAATTTATATCATATCAGATAATATGATTTTTGATTTACCCTTTTATACAAGGATAATAGTTTTCTTGTTATTAGAAAAGAATTTGTTGCTGCAAATATATAGGTGGGTCCACTTTTATTTTTTTCTCCTATCTCTTTTTAGTGGACCCATTTATATATTATATTGTGTCAAGAAACAAATTTCTTTTATTGTAACAATGGAAAACTATTGCCCTTTATATAAATTAATTAAATTTCTGAAGTATTTTTTTTTCCGGTTAATTTGTTAAGTGCATTTATTGAGCTAAAAACACGCGTCTATGGTATTATTCTCATGTAGTAGTTTCAAATTTTCAACCAATCTATTACTTATTTGTTTGAGATTCAATGGTGGTTCTAGTAGTAGTAGTTCCTTTGTTCTCTAACATTATTGGGTTAATGTTTAGTTCTATATCAGCACGTAATTCTAATTTTTTTTCTTTTGAAAACTAATTCTTATTTAATGCTTTGTTAGTATAACCCTTCCATGTGTACATCTTTATTTTGCATATGTTTTTGACTAGTGAACTAATTATAAGTCTGCTGTCTTTTGATTGCTTGCCGCATCAAAGTGTGATTTTCCATACATGGGTGGAATGAGTTTTCATCCCTCCTGTCTGTCTTTTCTTAACACCATGGCAATATGCCAATTAAGTTTTGAAGTTTTGATAATTGGGTAAATCCAATATAATGTTACATGACATGATATTTTTACACACACAATTAAGAGGATAGAGGAGAAAAAAAATCAAAAAGAATAGGACCCTATGATTTTGATATAATTGTGTGTGTAAAAATATCATGTCACATGATATTTGATTTACTTTTTGATATTTTGTAATGAAAAGTATGTGATTTTATTTTATTTTTTACTATTAGGTTATTAAAATTTACGATATGTGATTATGACATATCAAAGTTATTATTTGAATTTGAGAACTAAGGCTGACGCGTGTGATCGCATATTATTGTTAAAAGGGTTCGCTTTTTTTGCCAGATAAGTCCAATATGATATTGTTTTGGGACTGAAATCATGATATTTTGTAATTTTAATTTATTTCAGAATTATAATAGTCTTTATATTTATAATTTTTTAAAATTTCAATACTAAAACGACGTCGTTTTAAGAATAAATGCAGATACTTATCTGCATTAAGTGCAGAAATATTTTTCCTTTATTAAAAAATATAAACAAAGAACCGGAAGAAGTGTGTGTGCACTGTGCACAACGTGAAAAGGATTATGATTTATCTATAAAATTTAATTCTTTATTTATAATTCTTTTTATTTAATTTTATATAATGTCCATTATCCAAGGCTAATGGGTCCATCACGTGGGTCCATAATAAAATCTTGAGTTCATAACAATCTCTTATGTAGAATAATGTTTAAGGGATTTTTATTAGAATACAGGGAGTAAGGGATGAAAAGAAAATTAATATTGCGTCAAAAAGCATTGGACCCTTAATCAGTTTTATTAAGAAAATAGAAAACAATTCATGTTCAAATATCAGAATTTTATATATATAAAAAAAAAATTAAATGTAAGGGAGCAAAAAATGTTTCCTAATTGTTTAATGGTTTTCAAAAGTTTTAAATGAAGCGTAGCTGTTTTTTTTTTTTTTTTTTTTAAGTTTTTCTTTTGGATCATTTAGTTTTTTGGATCCATGGTACGTGGATTGGACTTGGGTGGCTGTTTGCATACCTGTGACAGACAGACCTGTTTTACAACTATTTGATATATTTTACAACAGTCTAACATGTCTATGTAAGAAAGTAATTAGCATATCTCACTTAACATATACATAAATGTATGTTTTCATGTAATTACGAGTATGTAATTTAGTCGGCAATGTTTTTTTAATTGTAGATAAAAAAAAACCATTCGATATCCGATCGCTAATGGATGCTAATTAATTCGGATTTGAGTCGGATAAGACAATAAGAGTAGCAAAGTTTTCCTATCAAATTTTAATATAATTATGTACTCAAACTCAATACCATTAATTAAATTGGAATAACTCCTGAGAGTTGATATATATGTTTGATGATTTCAATTTGAATTATGTGTGGATTGATTTAATATGAGACACAAAGGTTTGTATTTCATTAGAGATATCTTACGGCTAAAAAATTATAATAGTCTTATGTATGAAAAATCTGTAAAGGTTTATCACATGACACCTCGTAATCAGTGGTGGAACGAGGAAGGGGTTAGCCTTCAAATTTATATAAACTTTTAGAAGTGTGCATTATTTTTAATTCTTTTAATTATATATCCAATACTCACCCCCTTCAAAATTTATAAAAACCTTTAATTTTATATATTATTTCTATTTTCTTATCATATAAAAAGTTATAATTTCAAATGAAATTATAGTTTTGCCCCGTTTACAAAATATTCTGACTATGCTATTAGTAGAAAAAAAAAAACTATGCTACTGGTCCCGACTTAAAGGTCACAGGAGTTCCTGACTAAGTTATAGTGTTATACTACTAACTTTATTCAATAAAAAATATAATGCTATTATTTGATGGAAGAAAATGACTGAAAAGTTAACTTGAAAATAGAGATATACAGAGAAAATATGGACAATATCATGAAAAAAAAATGTCATTTATATTTGATGAATCATTACTTATTGTTGGTTTTGTGTTATTTTACTAAAGTTCAAATGAGTAAGAGTATGATAAGAACTCAAGAAACTTAGAGTTGAGCTTAGGGTTAGGGAATCTTGAAACTTTATAAATACTACCACTTAAGTTATCAGTCTCTTAGGTCATTGAAGAAGAGGTAAGTTCAGATATGAAAAGTGCCCACACACTTCCCTTCCTTCTCGAGAGATAATATGAAAAATCAACCATTGTTCAGCCTCAAAGAATTTGTTCGTGCTGCAACGCTGAGGTAAACAGTTCGTGAAGATATACATAGAAAGATTCTATACAAGATCTACGCATCAAGATGTAAACGATGATGATCCATTTGTATCCTAAACAGCAATGGTCTAAAATGCTTCCACATATGCAATTGCTCCTACAATCTATACAAGACCTATTTTTTAGTATATTAGAAAAGAAAAATGTGTTTGTCCTTTTAAATTACACAACTTGTGTTATTTTACTCTCACAAAGAAGTGAGATTCTTTCAACCAAAAAAAAGTGAGATCGTACCTTTATTTTTCTGTCCATTCTTTTTCCTCCATAATCTGTATCTTTCTCTCATTTAAAAAGATACAATTTTATATTCTTACACACTTTTCCCATTAGAAAATTAACTTAAAACGTCCATGTAAACTCTTTTTTTTTTTAAGCTCAGTTAGATCAAGACTATTAATATCATATTTTGAAAGTGGTATATATCAGACAAGTAAGCTTTTAGTTAACGATTTTTAATTGATACAACACGTTTACGTAATTTATGTGTCTCAAATCTTAATTAGTTCACGTATGTAAATTTTTAATCGTAATTCATATGACTTGCTAGTTGCTAGGCCATTGCTTGTTCCTTTTATTAAAGCTTCAGATTCACTCGCATTATTGAATAGTCCACAGTAGAGTGTAGGACAATTTGGGATGGGCCCAAAAACAGAACACGAGTATTGGGTTGTCTTGTCATGGACCATACATTGTCCTGCACCGTACATCACTTTGATAAAGTGCCACCTTGACTCTAAAACCATGGACATTCTAATTTCCATTTTGAATACTAAAAAACAAAGCATACCCTCTTCAAAAATGGCAGTACATTACCTTGTTATCTTACTTATTTGTCCATATAGTCCCCAATAATGCGAGACCTTATAGTATGTTTGTTCCCAATTAGGCTGATGTAGAATCATTTCTTGATATCAAAAATATTTTTGAAGAGAAAATAAATAAATCAACCTTATCCCATTCTTGTCATTTGTTGTCATTATCTCTATCTTCACAAAGTTTTCAATTTTATAAGATCAGCTTGAACATATAATTGAAAAGGAAGTTGGTGCATCTTAAAACATCAAATATGTTGAGATATATAGTTTCATGTTGAGATATATAGTCTCACATTGATTGGATGAGCAACTAATATGATCTTTATTAAGAACCTTGAGGTCAACAACTCAAAAGCTAGCTCAAGGGGTGCGAGTGCCCAAGGTCTTATAAAAGTCATATTAGTTGCTCATCCAATCAACATGGAACTATATATCTCAACAAAATATGCTAACGATTGAAACGCAAAGAAACTTGGCCTTAGGATAATTGTATGCTATCTACATATAAGTCTCATAACATTAGAATAAAAAAAATGATATTCTAAACATCCAATATAGTGAATAGAAAGGTAAAACAACAATTAAAGAGAGATCTCAATACTCCTAGCACAAGGAATTAACAAGTGACACTTGAGCCCAACTTCAATTTTTATTAGATCTTATTCCAAATACAATCTTAATTGGACAGTAAAACACATGTCTCAGAAAGACATGTAGGTACTACTTAAATTGTAACTACACTTTGCTCTAGAAATCCATATATAAAATTCTGAAAACAACAATGTATTGACAGAGATCTCAGGTCAAAGTAACAGACAGGTCATAAATTCAATTCCTAACTGAGTCTGCTAAATTGCAAATAAACTTTTTAGAACACCCTGAAGATTAAAATTTACCTGTTATGAAAGACTAGTCTTTTTTATCATTCTGGGTTGGATTTGCCTCACCACAGACACATAAAATGAGTTAATCAACTGAAACAGAAACCCTCCCAAAATCCAAATGACTAATCTGATATAACTCAACCCAAACTTTCTCTGCTTCAAATCCAGCATTGACAGTGACACTATCAATTTCCCTATTCCTCTCCACCACAACAACATCATCACCATCATCATCAATATCTTCATGCCCCATCTTGCATTTTTTATTGGAATCTTGACCCTTTTTCTTGTTCTTATTCCCCAAACCAAAACACCTCCTTACAACCACCCACGGTGCCTTAACAAAAGCCAAGGCGAAGCAATGCACAACCGCACAAGGGCAACAACAGAGGGCAACACAATCAGCAATCAACCCTGCAGTGCATGACCTGCAATACTTGCCTGAACACTCTATCTGATCCCCACCACCGTCGTCCGCGGTGGCGAACCTGTTGTTGTTGCTGCTGCTGCTGCTCCTCCTCCTGCAGGTGGTTTTTGTGGTGGGTCCATCTCCTCTGCAGGATTCATGAGTCGCTTTGCTACGTGAAACTCGAGGTTGTTGTTTCTGTTCCATGTGATTCTCTACTTGATGCCCCTGCAAAAAGCTTTATATATATTATATATATATATATATATATAACAGCAACTTCAATGACAATAACCCTTATGATTCATTCGTTGACTCCTCTACCACTTCCATTTCAACGTCGCTCACCATTGCCATATAAATCTTTGTTCTCCGTGTCACATTATTCATATACTAATTTTATACGTGGAAGTATCAGTTTATAAATTTTTATAATAAATATTTACAAATTATATTATACTTCTGAATATCCTACTTTCGTCGAGTAGTTTATAAGAGTTTATAAATATAACACATTCCTTTGTCTCTCTCACACACGCGCACACACACATGTATATATATAGGGGTAGGATATTCTTATATAAGAATAAGAATTTTTATGTCAAATTTTAATCATTGATTTACTTGCATCCGACAGCTCAAATATCTAATAAAAAAAAATCGATAGATATAAATAAAATCAATGATCAAGATTAAAAATATAACTTAGGCTTGCATCTGATGACTTAAATATCTAATATATATATATATATATATATATATATATATATATATATATATAGGGTTTGGTGTTTGTCATTTTAAATGACATAAGTTATGTCATTTTAGGAGAGAGATAGATACAGAAAAACAGAAATCATGGGAGAGAGAAAATGAGTGGTTTTTTTAATTTAAAATTCAAATTTTCTGTGTCTGTATCTCTCTTAAAATGACATAACTTTCTGTCATTTAAAATGACAAACATTTTTCCCATATATATATATATATATTATGTCTATTTTTTATGCTATTTTTTTATTTTTCTCCAATACTATTATATCATTATCTCAACCAATAATGATAGGAGAGAGATAAAGTTCGGTTGATATCATGATCTAATGAAAATAGGATGAAAAAAGATAATGAAATTCACATTAATATAAGAAAAACAAGTCTTCTATCTAATTTTAATCATTTATCTACTTGCATGCTCTCAAATCTATAATAAATTAAAATTGTTAGATATATAAATACAATATATACGATTAAATGTTGGTGTAAGTTGTATAAAATGGTGGCTTTTGCAATGTGGTAATAAAGAGAGAGTTGGAATTTGGCAAAGTAACAGAGAGAAAGATTCACGCGCTTTACGTAGTTGTGGCCCCTACATTTAGTCCAATAGCCACTGAGACTGAGAAGGGTACTTTTTTTTATTTTTATTTAAGGAGACAGTGGCTTGGGACTTGTGTTGTGTAGTGTGTGGTATTTTCCCTTTGAGTTTGAATGGGGCACTCATGACTTTTTACCTTGGACTCTAAATTGACCATTTTTGGAAGTGAGTTAATGCTATTCACATAATTCGATTCACAGTCTTGTATCACTCAAATGCTAAATTAAACCTTTGGAATCAAATCTGAGTAAAAGCTACTTATCTAAAAGTCACCGAAAAAAGAAAAAGAAAAACCAATTATTAATGATATAGATATATATATGATTGATTTTGATAAGTATATACTATGTCATTCAAGTTTCAACAACCCATACAAGCAAGATCGCATCCATTTTAGAAAAAAATAATACACATAATTCTGAACATAGGGGTGGTATAGATCAATAGTAATCATAAAAAGAATTTAATTTTAATGCTCTAAATAAATTTAGAATAACTATTAACAAAGTCAAATACATTAAATGAAGTGTCAACATATAATTAGATGAGAGAGTAAAAAGTTTTACATTGATGTATATATTAAAATTAACTCTTACAAAAAAATGTATAAATAATACGAAAAAATTAATATGGAAATCAATTTAGGTATAATGATAAATAAAGATAATTTTTAAAAAGGATAATTTTTTATGTGCTATTTTACCGATTGTTTTTATTTTGGTATTAAAATTATATTTTGATTAACAATTTTATAATAAAATGATTAAAATAAAAATTTATTTATTAAATAAATTAACAAAAATAAAATAACCATTTATAAAATTTGGATATTTTACCAAAAGAAAAAACTTACAATAAGATGCTTTCACTAAGGGGGAAAAAATACAATAAATACACTATTGTTGATTGTTAAAGGAGAAATACAGCCTGACTATGCACGACTTGTTTAGTTTATAAGTTAAACGAGTTAATTTGAAAAGATAAAAGCTTAAATTGCTAGCTCAGATTATTTAAAGGCGGTGAATGAGTTAACTATTAAAAAATGTATTAGAATCAAATTCCTATATTAAAAATATAAATGTTGGATTTACAAAAAAAAAAAATATATATATATATAAATGTTGGAGATTATATGTAACCGTAGGTTTGAATTCTTTGTAACGTATATTGTTTGAATTCAATTCTTTGTAACCGTAGGTTTGAATTCTTTGTAACGTATATTGTTTGAATTCTTTGTAACCGTATGACTGTTTAGATAGAGTATTTATTTGTTTTAGTCGGTTACGTTGTTACCATTTATTGTATGTTCGCCTATTTAAAGGCTACCAATGAATGAGATAAACACACAGTTGAAACATCAAGTTTATCTTGGTATCAGAGCTAAGATATCATAGGATGCATGGCCTAGCCTGTTGTGCCACAAGTCAAACCAGATTATTCTTCCTTAATGTATCACGTGCCTTACTGTTTCATGCAAATCTCCCTGTTGATTTTTGGGAGGAGAGTATTCTTGTTGCTGTTCATATAATTAATAAAACATCTACAAGAGTTCTCCAAGGCAGGTCACCACATGAAGAATTGCATGGAGTTAAACCAGATTATACATACTTGCGCACGTTCGGTTGTCTGTCATTTGCTAATACAAGACCGAAACCAACTGACAAGTTTGCTCCACGTTCGCGACGATGTGTTTTCATCGGATATGCAATAGGGCAGAAAGGTTGGAGATTGTTTGATATAGAAGCGCAACAAAGCTTTGTGTACAGGGATGTAAAATTTTTTGAAAATATTTTTCCTTTTCGCGAAGCTCCAGTACAATCTGTTTCTGCACCAAATTCTCGTGTGCCTACAGAGCCAAATTACTTTGACGAAGGCCAAATTGTCCATGACGGTTCTGATGCATCAAATGACAGCCCAACGCCTAGTGGATCATGTGTTCCTCTGGACGATAGGGGGAGTGTTTCGCTGGAAGCAACACCAACTAACAAAGTTGCCGCTAGGGAGTCCTCCTTACTAGAAAGAAGTTCGAGTTCTAGTGATGCATCAACCCAACAACAGTTGCTGGAAGCAAATCTGCGTCAAACAGTCACACGCCAGCACTTTTGCCGTACCAGGAAGCAACCATCTTATTTGCAGGACTATGCATGTCAAGTAGCTGAAACACACACTCCTTCATCTCTCCCTACTCAAACCAATGTCACCTCAGGTACTCGGTATCCTATGTGCAATTATCTTAGCCTCACTAACTTTTCTAAGCAACATCAAGATTTTGTTTCAGCTATTGACACAGGTTATGAACCACGTACATTTCAAGATGCTATGAGAGACTCCCGATGGGTGGAAGCCATGAGGGCTGAAATCACAGCCTTAGAAGACAACCATACATGGTGCCTCACGGATTTACCTCCTTGGAAGCGTGCTCTTCCAAGCAAGTGGGTGTTTAAAATAAAATATCGTTCTGATGGAACGGTGGAACGGTATAAGGCAAGATTGGTGATTGCATGTAATTATCAGATTGCCGGAGAAGATTACAGTGAGACTTATGAGACTTATGCACCAGTGGCAAAGATGGTGAGTGTACGTACATTGCTTGCAGTGGCTGCAGCAAGAAACTGGGAGTTGCACCAGCTTGATGTTCATAACGCATTCTTGAATGGAGAAATAAGTGAGGAAGTTTACATGAGATTCCCCCTGGATTCAGTACTGGGTCTAAGCATAAAGTATGTCGTCTTACAAAGTCATTGTATGGTTTGCGCCAATCACCCCGAAACTGGTTTTCCAAACTCAGCAGTTCGTTGACGGCATATGGATTTGTTCAGTCAAAAGCTGATTACACCCTCTTTACTATGCAAAAAGGGAAGGTGTCTCTTGCACTTTTAGTTTATGTCGACGACATCATCTTAGCAGGTAATAATCCACATGCTTGTCTTGCAGTCAAGGAGTATCTGAATCAGTGTTTTAAAATAAAAGACCTGGGTAGTCTGAAATATTTTTTGGGTATTGAAATTGCCCGCAGCAAGAAAGGAATATTTTTATGTCAGCGTAAGTATGCCCTGGATATTCTTTCTGATTCTGGGCTCAGTGGATGTAAACCGGCGATTTCCCCCATAGAACAAAATCATCGTCTTGCCTTGGATGACGGACTAGTATATGAGAACCCTGAACTGTATAGAAGACTCATTGGTAAGTTGATTTACCTCATTATCACAAGACCCGACCTGAGCTATGTTGTTCATATCCTATCTCAATTCATGCATTCACCGCGCCTAACTCATTATGAGGTTGTTCTCCGGGTTATTCGATATGTAAAGAGAGATCCTGGTCAAGGACTTCTCCTCAAATCGGATTGTGACCTAAAAATTCATACCTATTGTAATTCGGATTGGGCTTCATGACCTCTTACCAGACGATCTCTCACTGGTTTCTTTATTATGTTGGGTTCTTCACCCGTATCCTGGAAGACCAAGAAACAAGTAACGGTGTCTCGCTCTTCTGCAGAAACAGAGTATAGATCAATGGTGCAGCTACAACAGAGATTGTGTGGCTCAAGTCGTTTCTCACCTCTCTTGGGGTCACTCACTCAAGTCCCATGGAATTGTTTTGTGATAACCAAGCTGCTTTACACATTGCAGCGAATCCGGTGTTTCACGAGCGTACCAAGCATATTGAGTTAGATTGCCACTTTGTACGTGAACATATTCTAGCCAAGCATATTACAACAGCTCATGTGCCTTCTCGTTCCCAACTTGCTGATTTGTTTACTAAAGCCTTGGGACAACGCGAGCTTCTTAGTTTTCTTCCCAAGTTGGGCATTTCATCCTTACATACTCCAACTTGA